TTTCTTCATTTTTAATCTAATGATAAAAATGAATAATTTATAGATATTGGCAATTATGATCAACGTATTCGTCAATTGCTGGAAATAATGCCTTCATATGATGCACTCTATTCATTTACTATTAGCATAGTTCGAAAGGTCTATTGATTTTCTTGACTAATTTTAATTGAATTTCAATGGTATGTAAGACTTTTTTTTTTTAAACAATAATTTGCTAATGTAATAAATGTGAAATATTTTTGTCGATTAAATTCTTCACCTGAAATAGACTTTAAATTATTTAACTAATAAAATTGGTTAAAATTAACTTCTTGGTTAAAACTAATTTTTAAAAAACTTAAATTTTTTAAATTATTCCGGATTATCATTATTCTTTTATCCGTTTGATCATATCCTTAATTATTAAACATAAACATGAAAGGATTTTTTTTTTCAGTAAAAAATTCAAATAACTACGATTACGATGCTAGGAAATTGCAGTGTTTCTTTTTCAGTTAGGCCAACTTCGTACTTCTTACATTGCGAAGAATATTTATGCTAATCGATCAGATTTTGAAGTAATGCATGCGCAATCATCCTTACTTATAATTCATGCTCAGGTATGCGTAATTAAAAGTTTTACTAAAATATGGTACAAGTTATAAGCTGAATGAGAAATATGATATATGCATATTTGTACTGCAATATTTCAAGTTGTAATTTAAAATAATGTAAAATATTACTAATAATTTCTGAGATATTTATTTAATTTTTATTAGCAAAATTTTTAGCTGGAACGATTGAAATTGCAACTTTATGAAGTTACACGACGACGGCCAATACGACCTGCTTCATATCACGGCGATGATTTATTGCAAAAAATAGTATATCAATTGATTTCAATATCTATTATGAATTTTAAAAGCATATAGGAAAGTATAGGGAAAATTTAAATATCATTAAACTAATTGTTTAATTGAAAAAAATTTTTTTTCTGTCTTTTCTAGATTAAACCACAAATGAATTTATTGTTACCATTTAAATTACATGGAGCACGAATTCAAAAATATCATCGTTCTGATTCTTGTGCTATGGAATCAGAAATTGAAAAAAACGAGCAAAGCATTGAAAATGAATTTTTGCGATTATTCGATTATGCTAGATGTAAAAATTTCTTTTTTCCTTGTTCCTATCATATCTAACATATTTTTGTTCTTATAAATATAGTTATATTTTTATTTTGAAATTATTTCAGAACATAATTTATTATATAAATTTCATAGTTATTACTATTACTACTGCAAAACTATCAGTATTTCATTTTTTTTCTTTATTGCATGGTTTAAAATATATTTTCAAGGTTTATCGCGAATATCAGAATTTACGGGAGTAAATAAAGCTCATCTTGAAAGCTCTGGCATTTCAAATTCTTCTGGTTCACATATTAGAGATGATTTACAAAATGTTAATATTATAGTAGAAAAAGGTGAACAATCTGATATCAAATAACAATTTAAGCAAATACTACTAAATATGTAATCATCAAATCTTTATCAAAAATAAGAGAAATGTTAGAAATTATAATGCTCTAATTAAATTAACAAAGATTAAAGATGCTTCAATACGACATCGAGAAGAACAGTTTAGAAATTCTTCCAGTAAAATCTACAAAACACAAAGAAATTACAAAAGTCAATCAGCTGGACGACCAATTAGGTAAATGCTTTATTCCATATATATATATATACATTATAAAAATTCTTTCTATCATAATCCTGTTAAGTATGCTAAAATATGATAAGCTACAGTTAGTTCCTTAGCAAATATTGTTTATCATTTAGATTCCTTTTTTTTTTTCTTTGAAAAATTTCAAACCTGCATTATGTAATTTAATTTTCAATTTAAGTTTGGTGGAAACGGAAGGTGGAACGTTAACAACTGGAAATATTCCACATTTTAGTGATTGTTTAGTTAAAAAAATTGAAAATAATGTGAGAAAGTCATCTCCCATGCTAAAGTAAGTATTTTATATTAGTTCTGTACTTCATTTTTTTTTTTTTTGCTTTTGCTTTTATTATTGGATGCATTCAGAAATAAAATGGCAAATTGTTAAGGAAATGCATGTAAAAAAAAGCAGTTATTTGATTTCGTTTTTTTTAATCCTATTAAAGAATTTTAATTTTAACAAATTAAAAAACTACTAATTCTTTTATCATAATTAGAACTTCACATTATAAGTTGAAATTTTGAATAGAATAACAGGAATGAAATTATATCATATTAATGCGAGAGCGAAAAAAAGAGCGAAAAAAAAATTAAAAAAAACAATCCTATGAAACTTAAAAAAAAATTTATTTTTAGCTTGCATCCATTAATAAATTACAATCATACACGACCAATTGTTTCATCATTACAAGATGTGTGCAATAATGTGATTCATGGTCCATATTCAACTTCAGTGATCACACATCGAATGAATTTAAATGAACGACCACAAACTATTAGTCATGAGTCATTGGATTTATTTGGTGATTTGTAATTTACAAAAAAGACTAAATATGACAAATTAGTAGTATTCGATTCTGTTATTATATTAATCATTTGATTTTTACATATTTTAGGAAATGAATTACCGAAATATGATGTTCCACTCTCTCACAATAACGCTAGCTCATCAGATTATGGTGCTATCAGTACTAAACAGCTTTGTTCGGAAAAACAAACAATAACATCGAAACGATCTGCTGCAATTAATCCATCTAGATTACCACATTTGGTGTGTTATTTCATCCAATACGATTATTTTATTTATTATATCATTTTAAATAACAAATTTTTGTAATAAATTCTCTTTTTCTTTTTCTTTTTTTTACTGTGACAGATATTACCGGTAAAATTTGGTAGCTTCATAAATTTTTTATATTTAAGTTTATATTTAAGTTAGCTAGGAAATATTTGAATTATGATAAAAATGAAAAGTGTTCTATAATTATACTCAACTGTGCATTATTCCATTTAATTTTGTTATGATCAAATTTTTTGTTATTTTCATTTTTTTCCCAGATTTATCTGGTACTGAACTTTCTATGCAATATTTATAACTTATTTCATTGATGTTTTACTGACGAATTTTTTTTTCAGCGCAAAAATGTAAATCATACTATTTCACCACCATTGCTTAGTAATTGTGATAGTCGCAGTGCTTGTCAGTTACGGCGTAATCCTGAAACTGTCGGGATCATTCGAGAGAAAAATGCTGGATCGACACTTTTGAAAAATGTTGAAAAAAGTCGACTTCCAAAAATATCATCCATTTTAACGGAAAAAAAAAAGTGCACTTCATGGTTGAATCGAATCAAAGTGACTAAATAATAATTTTCTTTCAAGAAGAAGAAATTCTTCTCTGTCAATGATTGATTCAAATATATCAGATGATAATAGTTTGCAATTTGCATATTTACATCGAAATATCTTATAATTTCGTTCGTATTTCTGACAGAAATTTCGAATGTAAGTAAAAAAGAGCTGAAACTTAGATTTGAATGGAAACTTAATTTTTTATCTGCAATGAGTGAAGTGAAGCTTTTTAATTCAGTAATTTCCAAATAACTAATTTTATTTTAAAAAAAAATTCTATTTCTTTGGGTATTCAAAATCTTTTTCTCAAACTCAAAATCTTATGAGCTGTCCCAGCATGAAATAGTTCTTTGTGTTGCGGTTATATGAAAATTTTGGTTATACGATTACGTCGAGGAACATGTGCAGGATGTGAGTCCTGCTCGTCTAATTCTGAGTTTTCTAGATGACTTCTGGATTTTTTTTAGTAATTAACTGTATGCCAAGAGTTCCCCTTAAACTATCTGAAATTGTTATTGCAAGATTTTCAGTGGATTTCCTTGACGTATGTAAACTTTGATCTTGATTTATCGATTGAAAATCCACGTTAACTTCACATTCTAATTAAATTTTTTGACCATATTCCATTATTTCCAACAAATCCCTCACATCTAATGAATGCTATGCCATCAATTTCTGCTTTATATGTATTCTGATATTAGCAAATTTGCTTTATGAGTTGAAGCAACATCTGATAGCATTTCCAGATGCATTATTCTGGTATTTTATAACAGGCAATATATTGAAAATAAATGAAATGGTTGAGGAAGTGTGTAAATGGAAGCAATCCTACTCAGTGATCCGGTTGCTGCTCGGAAATTTATATTTTCCGGATATGCATAATACTTCTACCATTCAATATTTTCGTTATAAAGAAGAAAAGTGACAACTAGCATTTTTCCTCAAATTTTCATTTTCCATATCTAATTCAGAGAACAATAAATGAAATTGCGTTGTAACTCGTAATTCACTAATCACTTTTCATTGCTAATTTGTTGAACAACCAAAATTTCTCACAAAACAACAATCAATGTATTTACTGGAATCAATAAATTATTACGCGAAGGAATGAATCGAAAATTAGAAAAACTTTTATATAATGATTTGGTTGACTTGGCTGACTTGAGCTGCATCTATCAGTCTTTATTAGCTATACAGAATCTCTAAGTTACATTAATTTTCAAAAAAACTTAATTGAGATCAAAGAGAAAATCAAACTCTTTTAATGAATTGACTCGCAAAAATACGCAAATGATACACGAAATGAAATATGATAAAGGTAATATTAAATATCACAAGGATGCCATAGAAAAGAAACACTGTGAAAAAAATGCACTTTTAACTTCCATTTTGCTTCTTTGAAGACTTTTATCTTTTACAAAACAAAATGCTCACTAACTATATCAAAATATAGCCATGCTATATTTCTATAGAAAGCTAAAACCTTTTGATCTTGATTTTCGCTCAAATTCCAACTTTCTAGATGGTTATGGCATACTTCTGAAGAAAAACCAAAGGTACCTTCAGGACGCATCCATTCATTTGCAGTAAGCAATCTCACAATGTCATATAAATAAGAAGTAAGAAGTAAAAATCTAAATGGTTTAGTAAAAATTTGCTTAGGGTCAACTTCGTTCTTTTGTAAAGCTTCTGGGTTGCACTTTCCCACTTTCTTGTAATAAAGACGCCAATCTTGCAGTAGGCAAATGTTGGTACAAAGGATCTCGAAGTTTTTTTAGATCATGCTTAATAGAACTTGCTACATTTTGTAACTCGTTAAACCTGCAATAAAGACATTTTGCATGTCTTTTTATGTAAATTGCGACAAACTGATTTCACTTAAAAATTATAAACGAAATTCTACATGATGATTGGAATGACCAGGCAAACTCACCTGGATATGTCAAAATTACTTTTTGCAGCTTTTTTGTGAAAGTACAAGCTGATCGCTCTTTTTTTATGATCATTATGATTGTAATACTGAAAAATGATACACTGCGATTTACTTTATCAAATATGAACTTAGCCATCATCGGGAAAAAAGTTTGCACCATTCCGTAATACAAACAATAGGGCAATGAAATAAAGCTTGACTTCACAAACTATATCAACCCTTTATTTAGAGAAAGTTAAGATCGTTTATCAGTTCCAAAAAAGTATAAATAAATAGTACCTGATTAGTATACAAATAATAAGCGAATGATGCAATCAGCGTAGCATGTGTTGCAAAATATGTAATAGGTTCCATGACATCCCAGCTATAATCCCACCACGTCAACCGAGCAAGAAATCCTGCTTGAAATCCCATTGCTGCTAGTGTTAACCATAATATTCGTTGCGCACGTTTTCTGCAGAATTCATCGATTTTAAATTTCGCCTGAAATTTGTCACTCCGAATGAAAAAAGAAGGCTATGTTTAAAAACCATTCAAATACGTGCCAAATATTTAAAATGATGATACATGCATGTTCTTAGAGCAGAAAGGGTGATTTAATGGAACTATTCAAACGATGCTCCATGAAAACAGTACTTAATATTACAAAAATAAAAACTTCAAAAAATCGCAAAATCAAACAAACTTGAATTAGGGGTTTAAGTTCTGCTTTTACATTTTCATACTCCTCTATAAGCAATCGCTCCTGGAATGCTTTATACACTTCCACATTCATGATACTGTATAATGGCGCTATTGTTGATCTCAAACCATCAAATTTCTGCATTACATCGCCATCCGCCATAATATTCTATAATTTTACCACTGATTACACAATATTCTATAGCTTTTATTAATGTTTTCCCTGTTACTGAATGCTATACAAATCGTTCAGCATTTAAAACTTTTATATTAAATATGAAAATACATACTCTTCTATAAATACTCGCAAATCTATGTCTTTGGTACCAAAAATTCCTGATTACAGGTTCTTGATCAACTGAACAATTTTTTTTTCTTCTAGACGGTAATGGTACTTCAAGCAGTGATACACCAATTTGGTTGCATACATAGATTTTCTCTAGCAAATGTTTTCATAGTTAACATTAGAAATTAATCAGTATTATTCATTGCATATTCTTACAAAAACGTCATAGGTTAGGGAAAAGTTCAAAGAATATCTGCATTGATTGCAGATATGAACAACAAAATGAAAGGCTCACCGCAATAACATCTTTTGAAGATGGTACTTCTACAGTATAAATGAAATCATTGATGCGTAATCTAAAACTGCCTCGTAACAACAAATGCTTCAATAAAGTACTTCCAGCAATTCTATTACCACCTAAAAGTTTTTAAAGTTTAGTCAAAAAAAGAAAACAAGAACTAAGTACAAAAGAGGAATGAAGCAGTTACGAAAAACCTTGCACAGTGAATACGAACAGCAAAGCATAATTTCAAAATCGACGATTGTAGCCAGCAAAATGCTGAGTAACAAATCGCAAAATTTGTAACCATTAAAATGCTGAATAACAAGTCGCAAAATTCGTAAATTTTAGATTATTCAAACTTACTTGTTGAATAAACATACACAATCTCTATGCCTTTATCTTCGCATTCGATATTTTTGCAAAACCGAGATACAGTACCGCTAATAGGTTTGAGAGTAAATTGACATATTTCTCTCCTCGATGGTAATGGTACCTCAAGCAGTGGCAAACTACTTTGATACCAGATATGCAGATCTCTTCTCGTGGTATCATTTGAACATCTTCTTAAGTGATGCTAAAAATTAATCAACATAAATCCACTTCATTTTTCTATTACTATAAACTATGGAAAAAGGCAACAAATATGAATTATATTTCATTATTAGCTAAATGTTAAGTGAATTACATAAAGGGGAAAAAAGATACCATATTGTTAAGGTTAATATAACATGCTGATAATTGTATTTGTAAATGTTGTTGTCGTTGTAACAAACCCGTAATGCTGTACCAACGACACCTCATCCACTCAAATTATTTACGTTTTCCTCAGAGGACAGTAATTTACACAACAAAAAGTATCAACCATATGTGTGAATTTTTGTACAAATCAACTGCTTAAGTGAAATTTTTAATTTTTATTCGAATTTAGCAAATGAAAATTCATAATTTCATTCATTTATTTACGGATAATACCTAAAAAAGCCGTGAATATTTTTCTGAATAATAATCAAAAAAAGATATATATTTGGAAGCTTTTATCCTTCACTCCTTTGTTAGAAGACTCCTCATTTCCTTCCAACTTTTGACATTCATTTACTTATCGCAATTTGCCTTTTCTGACATTCATAAAATAAAAAAAAAAAAATAAACATTCTTAAAAAAAAAGAAAAAAGTGAGAAACATTATTAAAAAACAGTTAGCGAAAAGTATAAATTGGCGATGTGTATGATTTTTCTCACTAATTTATCTTCTCTATAGTGTTGCGACAAATACTGACATAATAATTACGAAACCACGTCATAATTACAAAATCACGTAAAGTTTATGAATGAATGAATGAGAATAACACGAAATTATAGAACTATCGGATGTAACAGTAAAACAACTCTGATAGTATCAATGTAATAAAACAAAAAAAGAAAGAAAACTGAAATGATTTTTGGCTTAAATAATTAGTAATGAGAGTAAGAAAGACAGCATAATATGAAGGAATAAAAAACCCGAAAGATAACCTTATTTTAGAGAGATGCACTAATACATTATTGAAAAAGTGTGGAAATTTGATAGATACCAGGCGTCAATATAACCATTGCGATACAATATATATCATCCCTCGCCACATATCTCTCTCATCTTCTGACGGGTTTGTGTTTGGATTGCGACAAGTTCCACATTAGCTCAGCTGTACGTAGTTGGATTCGTGGAGTTTCGGGGTTTTGAGGACACTTTCTGGAGATTTATGGCATGTAATGGATAACAGGATTGACAGAGGAACACAGGTTATGATGTTATTCTTAGGCTGTTGAATAATGTCACTTTCCTTTCTAGCTCGTTGGATAGTATTTTTGGTGGTTCCATAAATAAAGCACATTACTTTTGTTTTATTTATTTTTTTTTTTTTTTGAATTTCAGAGAGATATGGATATTTTGAGAGCAGAAATTGAGCGTAAACGAAAGCAGTTTGAAGGAATTCAGGTATCATTACTTACTTATTTGCTGGTGAAAGTTTTTGGCTTTCAATAAGATGAAATGTTAAGTGTGTCGTTTTTCTTTTTCTTTCTTTTTTTCCTTTGTTTCTTTAAAGAATGATTAATGCCAGTGACAATAGCTGCCAAAATATGTCATTTTAAAATGTTGTACGCCAAGATTTTATTGATATGAAGGCAAATAAGTCGAAAACGGGTGATACTCTAAACATATAATATTTGTGTATATTTATGTACTTACATGTATTTATTTGCTTGTTTATTTATTTATTTCATATGTTGCGTCGTAAGTAAATTGCTATAGTTTTCTGTAGGCGCCAAATAAGTATTTGAAACGCAGCCAATTGCTCCAGAAAGGAGAAGAGAAGAACCGAGAGTATCACCAAGCGAAACCACTAGCACCGACTCCTGTTACTGCTGTAAGTTCACGTTGCCTGTCTGCCTCCTAAGATCTATGAATTATATGTGATGTTTCCCGATACGAAACGTAATATTGTAAATTAAACCTTGAATTTATGGGCTAGACTTGTACAGTTAATTTTTTGCCGATCCCTACTTTAATATACTTCCTGATAGGCGAGAAGTGGAGGCTTGGCACGGATCGAGAATCAGACAAAAGAAATGTTTACTGAGCCGGAATTAGACTGTGTTGATTTGCCACGAGTTGACGTCATCAAAAGATTAAGAAGTCGGAGTCAACCAATTACGCTATTTGGTGAGACAGAACAAGAATCTCGAGCTCGGCTTCGTAAACTTGAAATTGAGCAAGTTAGTGTTTGGTTTTTATTGCGTATTTGTCTGCTATCATCATTTATTTAGTGTGGTTTGCTTCTTGTTTGCACAGGTTACATGACGTCATTTAAATTCACGTAATGTTTAGTTATGCTTTATCAGCTTATTTGTTATTTTTGTTTCAGCCTGATATGAAAGAAGGATGGAAAAATGATTTTCAGTCGGCTATGAAAGAGGTTGACCATGAACTGATTGAAGAAGTTATTAAGGGAGAGCAGTACAGTGCTGGTTAGTGATTTGTGTTATGTTTCATGTATGGGTCAAATCTTTAGATAACGATTTTTTGTTCTGAATTAAAAATTGTTAGTTTTCTTCGAATGCCTTGTAAACTGGAAAAACTGTATAGAATGTTGTTTCTTTAAAGCTTATCTGGTTATTGATAGATACTTATTATCCACCAAACTAGTGTATTTAAGGCATTCTGGATCTGGATATATATGCAGTTTATTTACGTCGTGCTTGCATATTCATATATTAAGTGTATGCCTTGCTTACCTAAGATCACACAATTTAAGACATCGTCTTTGTTCAACTGCTGTTCGAATTACAACTATATAGAGCTTCCAGGTAAACACGATGTTGCTATGCCAAATTCCGCAGGCGATAATAATTGGGAAAGGATAGAAGCTAATGCTGAGTTATTGGGTGAAGGCGATAATCCTAATAGAGACTGTGATGTTATTCGTGAATTCTTCTCTTACATATTAACTCGCTGGGGTAAAGCATTGAATGCTCGCGATGAAGTTGAAAAAAGGCATACCATTTTTTCTTCTTTTTTAACTATAGGATTTTACGGAAAGTTAGCTTTTTGATGAGATGTTATACTTATACTTGTTAGTTCTGCTGGTGATTATCATTTAACGAAGAACAGCATGGTTTGTTTGTTTTCTTGGTTTGAGATATTAAGCCTAGTTGCTATTTCAGTATTTTCAGCTAGAGGAAACGAATGTTTTTGAATCGTCTACTTTAGTTGAATTTCGAAAGAGTCACCATAAAAAGCTGAAAATTTATTTAGATCGTACTAGTAGTTAGAGATGCAAATTCGTATGTCTTTTAGATTTACGACTAACCGGTTGTTGAGTTTGTATTATTTTCTATTTATTTTCCAAACTTTAGGTATCAGAAAAAAATCAAGTTTGTTATTCCAGATCAGCAGAAGGTAAATTAGCAGCAACGATGCATAAACAAACAATGGAACATCTTCGTCCATTAATGAAAAATCTGGAGAAACACAATGTAAATGCTGACATCCGAGAACATTTGATCAAAATTTGTCGTCTCATCATAATTGATCGTGATTACATCCGGTTTGTTTGCTAAATATGTGGGCAGTAAATGAACAGAATTTTAGCTTTCTTCAGGTCTTCATATTAAAACGTATTTTCATTTATTGTGTTGCAGGGCAAATAATGCTTACATGGAAATGGCAATAGGTAATGCTCCATGGCCTGTAGGTGTGACAAGGTCTGGTTTACATCAGCGGCCTGGCTCAGCGAAAGCCTACGTTTCAAATATTGCCCATGTACTTAATGATGAAACACAACGGAAATACATACAGGTTAATACAGGATGATTTAATTAAGGTGCTAAGCATAATTCTATTATCCAATTCAATGTGGTGTACTTTCTACGTACTGAAAAACAAAAATTATAAATAAAATAAGGCATAAATTCTCTGTAACAGGATGTTAGGTAGAACGATCAATGAAACACCTTTTTATTATTCAATATCTGGTAACTTCGAAAACTTGGCATGCGCTTTTCAGGCCTTTAAAAGAATAATGACTCGATGTCAAAAGTATTTCCCAACAGACCCTAGCAAATGTGTGGAATATGTTCGAGAAATTGAAACAGCAGTAACATATTGATCTAGCATGTTATACCTGTCCGGTTTAACTGTATAGTGTAAATAAAAATTCATAATGCAAACGCATTTGTTAATTTTATACCGAGCAGCGATTATTGGATATCTTTACCATTTGTGACCAAATGACACTAAATCAGTTATTCATTTACTTTCGAAGTTCGGGGCTTTTTCTTTTGCATTCTCATTTTTCTTTATGTCAGGAAGGTAACATCTTATGGTTTCTAGTTGTTTTCTACACAGCTCTCGTTTTTGTGTGAGATGGCAGATGACGTAGCGCAATTACTTGCACCATATCAGTACATATTGAAGTTACCTGGTAAGCAGTTGAGGAGCCAATTAGCAAAAGCATTTAATTTTTGGTTGCAAGTCGACGTGGAGGTGCTGGATTCAATCATGACTGTGGTCGAAATGCTTCACAATGCGTCACTGATGTAAGCTGAATGTGTTACTTGGTTATGGAAAGTTAATGACTCCAATTGCTTGAAATCTCCAGAGCTACCTCAGGATTCACCAATCCCTATTTGTCGAAATAGTTAGGTGTTTTATCTCGACAACCTAAAAAGACTCCACTAGAATTCAGGATTGATGATATCGAGGACAGTTCGCTTCTAAGACGGGGATTACCGGTAACACATAGCATATATGGAATTGCCCGTACAATCAACACAGCGAACTATGTATATTTCGCAGCCCTGTCTAGGTGTATATTGTTGGGCAAATTTGAAGCTGTGGAAATTTTTACTGGTTCCTATACATTTTATTTTTTTGTCCTTTTTAATTTTTCCATAACTCATTGTTGTAGCTTTAGAACAGAACTAGGATTTAAATTTCGAAAATATAAAGAGAATTCGATTTTTTGAAACAGTTCCATTCTTCATTTTACAAAGAAGGAAGAATATGTTCAAAAGATTAACTGTTTGCTTTAATCTATAAAATTTAGAACAGTTATTGGAACTGCATCGTGGACAGGGAAAAGAATTGTATTGGCGGGATATAGTCCAGTGTCCAACTGAGGAGGAGTACGAGCAAATGGCGATGCAAAGTATGTATTACAAATGAGTAGTTGTCAGTTAGGAAATAGCAATTTTACAACGTTCGATTTGAATTTCTTTAATTTTTCTTTATTAATTCTTCAGAAACGGGTGGTTTGTTTGCGC